GAAATATAAGGAAAGCTAGCTTTTTCTCTACCCTTCTCTGTCTGGAGGGCTGCTGGAGTCTCAAAACTGCATGCCCTCTGCAAATGAAATATTGTACTCTTTGCATGACTTAAACTGACAATCTCATCTCTGAATTTAAATGTCCTTAATATTTAATTCTTTCCTCTATGTGGTTACCAGTTTGCTTCCTCCACATTGTCAAGATGATGGCTTTAGAAGGCAGGCTATTGGAGATAGAAAACCATATATCCAGATTCAATTTTCTTGCGAAAATCAAAGCACTCACTCTCTTGAAGAGTTGAAAGATGCTGAGGGGTCACTGCCTCCCCCAGGGTGCTGGTACAGGAAGTACTCCAGAAAGGTAATGTAAATACTGAGTATGAGGCAACAGGGCATACCAATTTGTTTTTCAATCTATTTTATTTCAGTTCAAAGCATTATTGCAGACAGTCCAAGAAAACAGACCACACTTTGGTTATACTCAGTCTTCCTCAATCTCCAAAAGCAGTTGAGTACTGCCAAAGTGTAGCTTGTTTTCCTGGGCTGCCTGTCTGCAACAATGCTTTGAACTGAAATAAAATCGATTGAAAAACAAATTGGTATGCCCTGGCTCTTCCTGCAGTTTTATATTATCCTTCAAAGCCAGTGTTACCACCTACTCTTTACTGGAACCCAACAGACCTAAATCACAGAGTAAAACTGCAAAACTTTAAATACAAAGGTCCCACCCAAACCTGAAATAGCAATTTAATTCAGGGCTTGTTGTTTAACATTGCATTAACATGCCACTCTCTGTCCAGTTCCTTGCTTCATTTACTGGGTTGGATTACAACTTCTGATGACATGTGCAATATGGTTACTGGATACTATTTAAAGCAAAACTTCACACTGGTGTTCTTATATAGGTCCCTTGATTTATTCCTGCCTCTGTAATTTTTCATGCTCATGAGCCCAAACATCATCCTATTTTACCTATTGAAAAAGTCTGCTATTTGCTTTAAAGCATTCAATCCTCTGCTTTGAAGTATGCAACACTGTTCTGAAAACTTTCAGAAGGGAACCTGAAGTCATTTGCAAACAAATTTTTAAACTACCACCAACTAGAAGAAGCCTATCATTTTTGGAATGCCTTACGAACATGCACACAGGGGCCATGGAGGAATACGAGCTTAAAATCCTAAAATGCTGAAAAATGCTCTGCAGAGACGGTTGTATAATTGGTTAAAAAAAAAAAAAAAAAACCCATTTGGAGAGTTCCTCTCTAAACAGAAACAATTTTAAAAAAAGACTTGTTCCCCTCCTCTCAAAGAAAGAAAAAGCACCTCCAACCCTTAATTTTGTCTGTTGAAGTAATACGTATCTGGATTTTTATTATTAAGCACTTTAAATAAATTTCCATTTGGGGGCAAGTTTAGTTAGCTTTCCCTAACTGGAACTCAGCAACGTGTTTAACAATAAGAAGAAAAAAACACTGAACCTATTATTACATTTTCTCTTATTCAATCCGCACAACAACCCTTGGCGGAGGTACCATTATCGACATTTTACAGATCAGACAACTAATCTGTAACTTGCCCGAGGGCATGCAGCTCTAGCAGTAGTGATGCTGCATGCAGGGCCAAGGACTCAGGGCCTGGTGAGACTCTGAACCAGGCCACAATCACTCGCCTCTTTCAGTTCTCCAGCTCCAAGTTCTTACCCACCCCAAGGTCTCTGAACCTGCTGAAAAGTTCTTCCTCCTCACTTCTGTCCCTTTTCCCTTCCTGCTGAACTGGCTCATCACTCAAGTTTCAGCTTGAACTACCCTGCTGAAGAGAGGTCTTCCCGATCAACCCGGTAAAAAGTGGATCTCCCAGGTTAGTCTCTATCTCAGCACTGTTTTGTTTCCTTTATAGCAGCTGGCACAATTTGCTATAATTTTATTAATTTCTTTACTATCTTTGCCACTAGGTTTTAGCTTCCAGAAAGCAGGGCCAGGTCCATCTTGCTCACCTTGATATTCCTAGGGCCTAGCACGGCAGTGACACAGTGGTTAAGAGCTACGGCTGCTAACCAAAAGGTCGGCAGTTCGAATCCATCAGCCGCTCCTTGGAAACCCTATGGGGCAGTTCTACTCCGTCCTATAGGGTCGCTATGAGTCAGAATCGACTCGACAGCAACGGGTTAGCACAGTAGAGCCCTGGTGGTGCAGTGGTTAAGAGCTCAGCTGCTAACCAAAAGGTCAGTAGTTTGAATCCACCAGCCACTCAAACCTATGGGGCAGTTCTACTCGGCCTTTGGGGTTGCTATGAGTCAGAACTGAATTGCCTCGATGGCAACAGGTTGTTTATTTTTTTGGTAGCACAGTTGTACCTAGTACATAACAGGCACTCAAATATTTGCTCAGTGAATGACCTGGATTTGTTTAATATTTAACTGGAAACGGCAGGTTGTGGGCACTGGCTAGCAGCTGAGGAGGCAAAAACAGGGAAGGTGTGGTCCCTGCCCTTGAGTAACTCCCTTGAGGAAGACAATAAACAACAATACAGGGTGGTGAGTGGATGAGTCCAATCAGTTTTAGAGTCAGATCTCAGCTGCCTTATGCATAAACAATGTAACCTTGGACATCTCCTCTAAATCTTAGATTCCTCATCTGTAGAATAGGAATATTAATACTACCTATGTCATAATGTTGGAGTGAAGATTAAATGATAATTCACATAAATGAAGCACCTGGCACACGGGAATCACTCAAATATTAACTACTAATTTTGTATTATGATGCTGTAACAGCTGTATTTGAAATTATCTTTATTTGTTTAACTGTATACCCCCTCTAAAATTTAAATTCCGTGGAAGAGCAGAGATCACGTTGGTCTTGTTCTACACCATTATTTCCAAGGATTTGAATTGTCCCAGGTACATGGCATGTGCTCAACAAATATCAAATGATCAATGAACGTATGCATGCAAGCATGGGTGTTGTGAAACAATTCTGCAGTTAAACTAGTGATGAATAGTGCCTTAGAAGAAAGGCATCTAAAATCTCCATAAACTATACAAAGATTTGGATACAATTCCAGTGAAGAACCAATGATCCCAGATTGAGGAAAGAAGAACTGAGGAGAGAACGCTTAAAAGAACAAAGTTAGAAGAAGTATGACCTGGGCCACCAGGCAAAAAACAAAAAACCAAACGCATTGCTGTCAAGTCGGTTCCGACTCAAAGCGACCCTACAGGCCAGAGTAGAACTGTCCCATAGAGTTTCCAAGCAGCGGCTGGTGGATTCGAACTGCCAACCTTTTGGTTAGCAGCCGTAGCTCCTAACCACTACCACCACCAGGCAGGGGGCTCAATTTGCCGGACTCATTTGCAACTAACAGCAACAAACAGGTAACCTAGGACAGAAGTCCTGAGTGGTGCAAAGGGACCTAAAAGTGGTGATTCAAATCCACCCACAAGAAAAGCCATTGAAAACCCTATGGAGCACGGTTCTACTCTCACACACATGGGGTCTCCATAAGTCGGAATTGACTCCTCAGCAACTGATTACTGGTTATAACCGGTAAGTTGCCATCCAGACCATTCCGACTCAGAGTGACCCCATGTGTGTAGAGTAGAACTGCTCCATAGGGTTTTCAAAGCTGTTACTTTTCAGAAGCAGGTCTCCAGGCCTTACTCCGGAGGTGCCTCTGGGTAGGTTTGAACCACCAACCTTAATCATTTGTGCCCTCCAACCACTCCTGGTTATAACCCAGTACACCCGTAAATAGCTTAACCTCTCAAATCCTGAGCTTCCTCCTCTTACACAAAACGGAAACATCACACCAACTTTAAAGCTTTGTCAGCATAATAACACAATATACAAACATAAAGCACCTGGCTTATAGTAGCGGCTGGATGGAATGTAGCTTGCTGTTCAAAGCAAGGGAAACAATTCCTACTACGAACAAGAAGTCCCTAAGTCCAGAAGCGGTAACGGAAGGCAGAATGTTTTGTCAACTAAAAAGCTCTAGGTGCATGGGTGCAGTTGTAACTCAAGTTCCCGATTCCTTTGAACGGGAGGGATCTCTGAAAGACACCAACGACCCATCCCATCTATTTGCGTCTAGTGCCGGGTCAGCAAACTTCTTCTGTAAAAGGACACATATTTTCGGCTCTGTGGGTCATGCGATCAAAGGCAAGCGAGCTCTATCGAAACTACTCAACTCTGCCCTTGTAGCATGGAAGCAGCCATAGACAATGAAAGAGCATGGCCGTGTTCCAATAAAATTTCATTTATGGACACTGAAATTTGTTCTCATATAACTCTCACAAATTCTATGGAATATTATTGTCATTTTGTTTTTCCCCCACTCAATCAGTTTTTCAACCATATATATATTTTAAAATGTAAAAAACAGTCTTAGCTCCTAGCAAACAAAAATGGGGTTGAAGGGTGGAAAATCTGACCCAGCCATAGTTTGCCGACGCCTGGTCTAGAGACACCGGAGGAGTGAAACTGCGAGAAGCAGCAGCAGCGAGATGAGGCCTCGATCGAGCCCGTGGGGGGAGGGGAGGAAGGCGGTGCGGGGGAGGGTACCAGCGGGGACCAGCCTGAATGCAGCGGGGCCAGGATTCAGGGTGTGGACCGCCCCTGGGGAAGTCTACGTCCTGGGACAGAAAGAAGCGCCTGTGAGTTGAGCGAATCCGGCAGAGTTGGCCACGCCAAGGGGATCTCTGTACAGCTCTCATTTAGGGCCTCTCAGGCCTCACGGAGAAGCCCTGGTGGTGCAGTGGTTAAGCGAGGGGCTGCCAACCTTTAGGTCGGCGGTTGGAAGCCACTAGCCGCTCAGCGGGATAAAGAAGTGGCAGTGTCCTCCCGTAAACATACAGCCTAACCAATGGAGCAGTTCTGCTCTGTCCTATAGGGTCGTTACGAGTCGGTATGGACTCCACGGCAACGGGTTAATGAGTTAAGCTCGCGCCTCAGCTGTAAAGGGGGTCTCCACGCTAAGCCCCAGCCCCGTTTCTATGGTTACCTGTTCAGCACCGATTCAAACTGCCGTTCTTTATTGACAGCGCCATAGAAGACACGAACACTCCTGCTGCCGGAGGGGAACAATAAAGCTTTCTCCATTCAACAGCGCCACCGACGCCAGAAGGCGGCCATTTTGAGGCCGGCGCGGAAGAAGTATAAGAGCCGAGGGGTTGGCCGGGCCTTCACCGGCGCCACAGTCACGTGGTGGGGCGGGCCTCGCGCGGGGGGCGCGACTATGTCACGCGCTAGCTCTCCGCCAATGCTAAGACCCTGGGCAGGGGGCGGGCAGCCTGCCAGTTGCTAAGCTTTTCTGACCTCTGACCCTTGGCCCCTCCCGGCTGAGGTAAGTTCTGCTGGAGTTGCACCGCCCCGCCAGGGCAGCTGTAGGGTTATGATCCTGTTTCAAAGAATGGCAGAAAAGTAGACACAAGTTGCTTTTTTTTATTTTTCCTAAACGTTTTCACGTGCAAGGCGGAGAGGAGACCTGAGCCTTGTACCCGGACTCATTCCCATTGGTGGAGAGATCTGGTGCACGTCGAACGTGATAGGCTGACAGACCGAGTATCCACCAATCATGGTGTCTTGAAAACATTTTGATCCCGCCTCTCCTTCATCCCAAATTTTAGGATTTACGGGTTTGAGGGGAAAGTGTTCATAGTTTTTCTTTGGCCCCTCATTGAGTTTCCTTCTCACTCGCTTTGTCATCCACGTTGGAGCCCACCTTGCCACTTTAATACAGCCAAACAGATCAAGTCAGATCCAGACAGTATCAGACAAATTAAGTCACATCGGTGCTGGCCCACGGAACCTCACAGTCTGTCACTGTCAGTCATGCCACCCAAGATGTCATCTCGGTACAGTGTCGAGCTTCCTCTGTGGTTACAGCTGTTAGATCCACAAAGTCAATATTCAATCGTTCTGAGAGCTGTCATGTCAGACAGCCACTCAATCACAGTGTTTAATTACGCATTCAATCTACGTGGCAGAACTGCCAGTCGCATTGTTGCTGTCACTCAGTCAGTCATTTTTACTGTCATTGTCTGATTTTTGACCCCTGTCAATGACCATGAGCTTCAAACAAGTGTGTACAATACAGCACTCCAACTGTGTGCCCAGCTGTCACCATTTCCGTTGTTTTCACTGTCACTGTCACCCAGCGACTTTCACTGCCACATTGTCAAGCCAATATTTAGCAGGCCGCTACGGGGTATATAGCTGTGCCTGTCACTGCGCAATTAGTTGCTTTCACTATTATAATCACATGTCACTGTCACATTCAGGGTCAGATTTACTGTAGCTGATACTTAGTCACTTTTGTAGTCACTAGAGCCACAGCATAGCTGCTGTGTCTCCTAATCACTCAAGTGCACCACCCTCATGTTCTTTTTTGGTGGAACCCCCCCCCCCCAGTGCAGGGTTGCCAGATTTAGCAGTAAATAAATAATAATAATAAATTTTTAAAAAGAAACCTGGAATGGTGCTTGGCACATAGGTGCTCAAGAAACATTTCTTGCATTAATGGATTTAAAAAACAACAGTATTATTGCCAGTGTACTGTATATGAATGTGGATGGCTTGGGGCTTATTTACTCTCAAACAATGGGAATAAGTTTGCTGGCACTATCTGTCCTGCTGTTCCTTTTAATAAGACTGCATCCTGTAGGGACTAAAAGGAGAAAGCACAGGCAATGTAGCCACCACAGTCCTGGGGCCATGTTTACAAAGAACAGGATTTTTTTTTAAGGATTTTATTTCTTATTTTTAAAGGAATGCATGTTTATTGTAGAACATTGAGAAAATATACCAAGAAATCCTTCCTTCCAAAAGGTTGTTTTAGACATAACAAAGAATGAAATCCCCCAACATAATCACACATGCTCACACACGCTTGATGGGTCTCTGACTACAGTTTCCCTAAAAATTATCTACATAAAAACCTCTACTTGAGGTTTTTGCAATATTAGAAATTCCCCTGGGACTGACTTGCCTACAGTTCTTGAAGAATAGCACAGCCTTCTGGCTGGCCATCACACAGGAGAATAAGACAGCAATCATGAGAACCTCTAAAATACTCATCTTCTCAGAGCCTTGAGACCTTTGGAGAAATGACTTCTGCTTCCAAATCACCAGAAGGAACGGAAGGACCCAATCCTTGGCCTTGAGGGGGAAGGTACGTGAGGATTTTTCAGCCTTTTTTCTACCATGCCAGATGATGTTCACGGAACATCGCCCCATGTAAGATGCCTGAGGTGGCTCCAGATAAAACATCAACTGTTTCCAGAGTAACTAGTACATGCTAGGAACACAGAGGTGAATAAAGCCCCTGCCTTAGTAGGAAATAACATGGCCAGTGGTGCTTCTACTGCTAATAACAGCTTGTTGTTGTTCTTGTTAGGTGCCCTTGAGTCCGTTCTGACTCATACTCTCTGTCAGGTATCATGCCAAACCCTTTACCTAAATTATCTCATGTAATTCTCATAAAGACCTGTGGTATAAGGCCTATAATTGAGGCCCAGCATTATGTGCCTTGACATCTGAGGAAGACCATTTAAGGAAAAGCCCTCAAATGGCCTGACTACCAATGTCCCTCCCCATGTGCTCTTGCAGATAAGATCCCCTAACTAAACCATTCTCCATATCATGAGGACTGGGCACAGTGCCTGCTTAACTTAACTTAAATAGTGGACTTTAGTTCCCTAACAGCCAATGGAATTATTTAAATAAGCCAGTTACATCCTCCCACAGGAACCAGTGGCCGCCTCACCCTCTGGTTAGTACAAAGCCTGCCTCCCACAGGTCTGATTATTCACTCTGTTCCTGAGTGCAACTTCCATGTAGCTCAGTGTGGCGTGTGGTGTCCTCCTTCCTTGGACAGTGAATATATGTGATTAATAAACTGCTGTCAGTCTCATCTCGCCAGTGTCAGAGGTTGTGTGTTTGGTCACCCCATAACCCTAGGGTGGGAATCCTTCCCTCACCAACAGGAAGAAGAGGAGGTGATTAAAACTCTACCCAACAAGGTTGTTGTTGGTGGTTGACATCAAGTTGATTCCAACTCATGGTAACCCCGTGTATGCAGAGTAGAACTACTCCGTAGGGTTTTCAAGGGTTATTGGAAGCAGATCACCAGGCTTGTCTTCTCAGGAGCCTCTGGGTAGGTTTGAACACCAACATTTCAGCTAGTAGTTGAGTGCTTAACCATAATACACTACCCAGGGACTCCCAACAAGGTAGGCAACTATTACCCACCCCCCACCCCCCATTTTATACAGAAGGAAACAGATTCAGAGAAGGTAAATAATTTGCTCAAGTTCTCACAGTACTAAGCAGTGGAGTTGGAGTTTAAATCTATGAAGTCTGACTCCAAAGCCTGCACATCTCCCCCCCCCCCAGAATAATGACTTTGGGTTTTTACAAAATATTTGTGTTCATTATAAAGAATTCATGGATTACATAAAAATCCAAAGAAGAGAGTAAAAATGGAATCACTCTAAATCCTACCACTTAGCGGTAACATATCATTATAGATGAATATGTCTCCATCTCTGGGCATATTTATATAGGTAGGTAAATGGACGGATGATAATGACAGTTTCCATCCAATAAGCACTATGTGCTGGACACTGTTCTAAGGGCTTTCCATGAATTAACACATTTAATTTACTCAGAAATGGATAGACATAATTTTATTGAAATGAACTCATTTAACATATTCAGGGTTCACATCAGCAGCCAACCACCTGGTGATGTTTTTCCCCAAATCTGGTCATTTTGTTGGTTTTGCTGTCTTCTCTCTTCCTTCCAATCAAATCCTAAGCACAGAGTCCTTGGGCTGCAAAGCTGAGTCTTTAAATAGCACCCTTTGCACAGCTGCCACCCGGTCAAATGTCTCTGCTGTTCCCCAAGGCAGTGGTGTTATTTGTGGAAGTGAAGTTTGCTGGAGGGTCGACATATGCTTTTATTTGTTAGTGTAGGTGTCTGGTCCTTGGCATTCTCTTTGTTGGCTTTCTAAGTGTTAGAATTTCACTACCCTTTTCTCCAGTCCAAATGAAGCTTGATCTTCAGATCTTGGCCAGTGGAGACCAGAAAGTCTCAGATGAGGATGCTGTTGGAATTTGCTGAATGACTCAGAAAAAGGTCAGCTGCCTGCTCATCTATCCAGGATGACAAAAGATGAGGAGGAGGGAGACTGTCTGGTTCCATCAGGGCCGCCCAGCCGATGGGAGTTTGGAGCACTTCTGCGTGTCTGGCCCTACCAATACCTTATCTTGTGAGCAGGGCTTCACTCTGGTTCTAACCCCTGCTAAGAATCTGCATTTCTAACAAATTCCCAGGAGACGCTAGTACTGCTGCTTGGGGACCAATTCTGAGAACAAGTAGTAGAGCAGTGGTTCTCAAAATTTATCATACATAAGAATCACCTGGGAATCTTGTTAAAATGTAGATTCTGATTCGGTATAACTGGGGTAGAAATGCAAATTCCACCCGTTCAACCCCCAGTTCAACCCCCTTCCTGCCCAAGCAACCATTTGATCTGCTTTCAGTCACTATAGATTACTTTTGCCTGTTCTAGAACTTCATATACATGAATTAAATAACATGTTGTGTTTTGTCTGACTTCTTTCACTCAGGTTAATGTATTTGAAATTCACCCATGATGTTTCATTTATCAGTAGCTGGTTCCATTGGTATGGATATACCATAATTTGTGTACTCATTCGCCTGTTGATTTGAGTTTTCTATCTTTAGGGTATTATGAATAAAGTTTCTATGAATATTTGTGTACAGATCTGTGTGGACATATTGTTTTGTTTCTTTTGGGTAAACAGTTAGGAATGGATGGCTGGGTCTTATGGTAGAAGTCTATTTATAATAAACTGCCTAAAAGTTCCTTCTAAGTGGTTTGTACCAAACTATTTATACTCCCAGCAGCACTATATGAGAGTTCTAGTCACTCCACATCCTCGTCAACACTTGGTATTGTCAGTCATTTTAATTTTAGTCATTGTAGTCAGTGTGAAGTGGCTTATCATTTTTGTTGTAACTTTTCCTTCATGGGCTTATAGGCCATTAATTTTTTTTCTTTTGGGAAGTGTCCAAATATTTTGCCCATTGTTTTTGATTAGGT